TTTTCTACCAGTGAGTAAACTGACTGTATATTATCTATATTTCATATTCTATTGATCAATAACAATAACAGCAGAGAACAGCTGATAAACTGATCAATGAACCCAAACAGTGAACACAGTAACTGCAGGAGTTTGTGGAGATTTGGATGAATGTAGAGCAGTTTATTCCCTGTGAATATTGATCATTGATGAGTGTTACGGCCCCTCTGTTATCTGGGATGTGTATCTTGTTGTGGCGGGGTAAAAAAGAAGGGGCCCCCCCCTCGGGGGGGGGGGGGGGGGCCCCCCCCCCCCCCCCCCTCCCCCCCCCCATTTATTTAATGAGCCCCCCCCCCCCCCCCCCCCAAACAACCCCCCCCTTTTTTATTAAAAACCCCTTAAAAAGGGGGTTTGAATTTGAAAAAAAACCCCTTTTTTTAAAAAAAAATTAAAAAAAAAAAAAAAAAAAAAAAAAAAAAAAAAACCCCCAAAAAAGGAGGGAAAAAAAAAAAAGGAAAAAAGTGGGGGAAAAAACAAACCACCCCCCAAAAATTTATTTTAAAAAAAAACACATTAAATTGGGATTATTTTTAAAAAGGGGAAATTTTAAAATTAAAAAAAAAAAAAAAAAACCCATAATTATTTTAAAAAAAAAACCAAAAACCCTAAACACCCAAAAAAAAAAAAAAAAAAAAAAAAAAAAAAACAATCTTTTCCTGGTATGTTTATAGAATTCTTCTGGTTGTGTTAACTGTGTAGCTCTGTGAATATAGCATAGAATATATATAATATTGTTCTGTTTTCTTCGTATGTGCATTAGTTAGAAAGGCGTATTGGTTGTATTGTATAGAACAAGCTGCTGAATGGATTCATGGGTTAAGCTAATGTTGGCTGTGATTAAGGAGCGTTTCAGTTGGCAGATTTCCTCACTGGGTTCTGATGTTAAGCACTTTTATACACCACATGCTTTTATTCTAGCCAAACACAGCCTCTTCTGTCACAGTTGGTGCTGTGACACTTGGGGGTGTGTTCTTTTGTGTGTGTGTGTGTGTGTGTGTGTGTGTGTGTGTGTGTGTGTGTGTGTGTGTGTGTGTGTGTGTGTGTGTGTGTGTGTGTGTGTGTGTGTGTGTGTGTGTTATGCCTGGCAGTGAGCTGATCACCTGGTGGAGTTACACACCTGCTGGCAATCCTCACCAGCGCCTGGCCTTAAGATGTGGGGCTTCCTGAGACTTGTCCTGAGATTATTCCTTACCTTCTCATGGTTGAGTGCTTCAGACCAATTTAATCTAATTTAGTATTTAGTTTGTGTGAGTTTCTCCATCTGAACCAGGACTAACTCTTTGTGTTTCTTCTTTTTTCAAGATTCCTGCACCCGGTGTGTTTTTGTGCTGCCCGGAGGATCTTTTTGGAACGCTGGTTGCCATTGTCCAGGACTGCCTGCCCCTGCTCTCACCTCGCCCTTTTCCACACAGTTCAACTTGTAACTCAGTTCTTGGTGAATAAACTCTTGACCTTAACCCGCCTCTAGTGTTCTGTATCCGCACCCCGGTCCACGGTTCTACCAAAGCTAACCCTCTGCAGTGCAAGCACAACTCAGGTGTATTTTCTATAAAGGCTCCACTTTGTTACTAGGATTTTATTTAGTGGTATTAACTGTGTGATTGTGGGTCCAATATAACATGGTTCAACCCTTAAAAGCTTACAGTTCTCTACAGTAAGTTAGTCGATAATAATCCAGAGTTTATACTTATCAAATTGGCAACTTAATGTTGCTAATTTCCTAAAAATGACGCTGTCTGATGCAGAAATATTTGAGGGAAAACTCCAAACAGATAGGCCGGGAGCCGGGTCACCCCCTCAGGATATTTTCTGCTGCATTTTTTTTTTTATTTCCTGTTAGCCACACACACACACACACACACACACACACACACACACACACACACACACACACACACACACACACACACACACACACACACACACAAACACACTGATAACTAGCACCCACAACTCAGGGCTGTTTGACACATGTTTTTGGTAAATATGATATAAATGAAAATACTATGGTACTGCAATCACATTAATAGTCATACAAGTATTACAATCAGCAGGGAGTATGCTGAAACAACCTGAAACAACCCCAACAACAAAATCTCTACATGACAAATTCTCATCAAAAATAATTATTTTCTGTCACTTCACATCAATATATCAATATCCGACCTCATTTGCATATCGAAACAGCTTGCCACATTCACAAGCTTCAGTTTGAGCCCAAGATGAACTTTCTATTTTGAAAATTATTCACTATACCTAAAGTCAGGGAAAACAGAATTGTGAGCCACTAGCACTACTACCAAATGGAGATAAGCATATATCTAACAATATGTTCACATGTACTGCTACTAATGCTGAATCTGAAGTGAAGAACATGAACAGTGCAATACATTTACCTGGAATTTAACATATTTCTATGTCGTATTATGTACAGAGAGCTTGTCCAAACTAATTCACCCAATACACTACAGACTAACTAAGCATCAATATGTATGCATATTGTGCACCTGGGTACTTAATATGACTTAATACAGACTTAGATAAACACTCTAAATACAGTCAAAAGGAGAAACAACAACTGATGAAGCCAAAGACAGGGAGCTTCAGAGCCCCTGGTTTCTACCCTTTACCTCATTTAAAATGACAATTTTTCCATCACTGACCTACATAAACAAGTTTGTTCGTACATGCATTACATACAGTTCATGTAATGCATGTAAGAGGACTCGTATCAAAGGCAACAAGCTCTACTTTATAAACATGTGCTCATTTAGTATCGGGCTAAAGCACAACCCACACCACGTCAGCTTAAACATGACCTACTGGCCTATAAATCAGAACATTTCTGGTCTATAATTATTATGCAGGTTACAGGGCGTCAACAGTGCCGAACTAGTAATATCAGAAAACAACAAAGCATCATACTAAAACATAACTACATTTACTTGGAATTGCAAATAGAGTCTCTATTAGAATTTTTAGAACAAATTCTATTTTATAATTTATGACGATGAGAATGTGTATATATATAATTATATAGTATATAATATAATTATTATAGACATTATTTATAATCATTCAAGTCTCAGAATCAGAATTCAATGTCCTCTTGCAGAACATCAAACGAGTCAACTCCCAAGCATATGCATATTATATTAATAATTTTCCCGACTAGGCATCGCCAAAGCTTCACAGGTCAGGCATATATTTTAGTCTTTTGTTAATTTCTGTGTTTATCATTTATTAATTTTTATAAATTATTAATTTTTACTTTACTATTATTATGTAAGATATAAACTTTAAACATTCACAGAGACTTCATTCCCTGGGCAGCTGTGGCTTCAGGGTCATCCACTAATCAATATTTACAGGAAATAATCTGTTCAGGATTTACACAACCTTGCTGCATTATTGTGTTCACTGTTTGGGTTCATTGTTCAGTTTATCAGCTGTTCTCTACTGTTATTGATATTGTTGATAAGTGTCAGGGCACATGGTCAGATAGACAGAGTTCAATACAGCCAGCTACAGCGAGAATACACAAGGTAACTGCATTTGCTGCCACATGTACAGAGTCACATTTAATTAAAATTTTAAATTAATTTCAATTTTATTTGTATAGCGCCAATTCATAACAGAAGTTATCTCAGGACACTTTTCAAATAGAGCAGGTCTAGACCGAACTCTTTAACATTAATTACAGAGACCCAACAGTACCACCATGAGCAAGCACTCGGCGACAAGGGCAAGGAAAAACTGCCTGTTAAAAGGCAGAAACCTAGGACAGATCCTTCGGCTCTAGGTGGGTGGTCGTCTGCCTCGACCAGTTGGGGTGAGAGAGAGAGACAGACAGACAGAGACAGAGAGAGAGACAGACGGACAGACAGGTGCACAGCAACAGCAGTATTGGTAATGGCAATCTAGCAGGACCATGGTAGGAGGCTCCACCAGGATCCATGAGAACCTGCGAGACGAGAAAGCACAAGAACTCTGGGGAAGAAGTGAAGTTAGTAACATACATTAATGGGATTTAGGCCATCAGTACAACAGGATGTGTGGTTTGGTTCTAGATCTAGATATGAAATATATCTGGTAACTAGAGGTCGCTCTACTTTTTTGTGGTTTGGCATTTCGTATGAAATCATTAGAATTTCTCTCAACACTAGGCCTGCAGGATATGAGGAAATCTGTGATGTGCAAGAACACTGTTCAATATTATGATGATAATATGACTGGAAATTAATAAAAGCATAATGAAAAGAGCATATTAGGTGTACAGTTCATACCTGGTGGACGGAGCATATCAGGCGGATATCTCAGGTTCTCTCAAGTGTTGACTTTTTACTAGCAGCGGTTTTATTGTACTTCCAATAACGAGAGCAGTTGTCGTCACTTTATTTTGTTCACTTTGAAATTGTGTTGAAATTAGGAATTCAGTTTGTTACCTTAGAATTAACCATTTTTATCTACACAGGGAGCGGGTCCTCTTCGACAGAATCTGCCACGTTTGAACTCTATGTTTCTACGGACAACCAAACCCTGGCTCTAGGTAGGGATACTGTTGGTAGATAATGTAGGTTGCAGTTAGTTGCAATCTGCAAATTCACTGCTAGATGCTACTAAATCCTACACAATGGACCTTTATGCCATTGTACCAGTACCCCTCTTTGAAAATACTCCACCATGAGTTCTGCATTCTAAACCTTAGAAAGGTGTAAGTATACAAGTATATTATAGCATGTATTATGTATAGCATGTATGTATGTATTTAAAGTAGTCACAGGGTTAGGGTTAAGTTATAAGTTACAAGTTATTTAAATTGAGTGGAAACCTGACAGATCACACTTCCTGTAAAAGGAAACCCTTCACCATGTGAACATAAGCAGAGCAGCAGAGATCATAACCACACTGTTTCTACATCTGGAAACCAAACGCTACACATACATTTCCTGTTTTCACAGGTCTTCATCATGAAGGGATTCAACTGTCAGTCTGAAGAGAATCAACGAGACTTCAGTTAGGGGAAAAGATGGTGAGTGTACTATATATATATTTTTTACTGATGATATTGATTGTTCAGTTTGAGGTTTACCTCTTTAAAAAAGAATGTCACTCATTATGACATTACATAACGGTAATCAATAAACAAATAACAGTTACAGTTATTGTTTGAATCTTAAACGGCTTAGGAGATATTCATCTCATTAAAGATCTGATTCCACTGCGTTACCTTTATACTATATACAGTATATTCAATCATTATGATAAAGTGTCACTGACGTGTGTGTGTGTGTGTGTGTGTGTGTGTGTGTGTGTGATCTTAGATGAATGAATGAAAGTTAAAAGAGAGTTAGTAAAGACTAAAAGGGTACGACATAAAGACTGTGTATGTGTGAAGAATAACATTAATTAACATCACCTTAGTGATGTCTCAGAGAACTGCAGTTACAGCAGTAACCTAACGTTAACCATAACAAGATCATTTAACAATATAGCTACAATACGTTGGGTGCTCTGTGTTCAACCTTCAACCTTATCAGATGCTCTGCTTAGTTTAGTCATCCAAAATGTCAGAGAGGAGGCCAAAAACAGAAGATACACAGGCTGTGACTTTTGATCTCCTTTATATTTGTAGAAGACTTCACAGTGGCATGGGGAGCACTTTACAATTTCATTCCACTGTAAAGAAGGAAAATTCCTTCACACTATTTATTATATGTGTATTTATTATTGCTTGGTAGGTGGTGAGCCTATGAGTCAGGCTGGGAAAGTTGTGTTTCTGATGACAAAACATCTTCGCTGTGCAACGTCCACTTGTTCAGGTCAGCTGGTTCTCTCTATGCACTGTTTCCCTACAGAGTTAGCAGTTAGCAGTTAGCAACTCAGTGCTAATGTGCTTTGTTGCTCCTCTAATGTCAGCTGTCAGGCTGTGTGTTTGTAGCCATGACACTTTGTCATAATTAAAGTTCAGTTAAATTACACAATTCATGTTTAGTTCCCAGTGGTCCAACCATGTTTTCTTAACTGTGAGTCATTAAAGTTACATTAGATGACAGTTATCATATTATTCTCCTCAGTTTATCCATCACTCCATACACGAGGAATTAAACTCTCATTCAGTAGAAATACAGACAGGCAATAATACAATTGTTACACAACTGTCCTTCACAGTATTATCTGATTTTATCAGGGAGCCACAATGACAAAAGAGGTCCTGTTGAGCACTCTGGACGACCAGAGCAATACACTTCCTGTGGAGGTGACCAAACAGGTTTCAAACAACAGGAATGATCTACTGCAGAGTTTGGAACCAAAAGGTCAGTGACAGGAAGAGAAAAACATTAAAAGACACACAGTAGATTTAAGGTGATATCTGAACTTGTGTTTGTTTAGGTTTTATCATGAAAAAAGAAAAAAGAGTGTGAAAACATCATAACCTTGTTTCTGTCAACTTCATGATCATAGAATACAGATGTGTGCATTTCTCAGTCGACAGAGTGGGAGTTCTTCTTCTTGAAAACTTTTGTCTTCAACTGTGGAAACAACTGATTCAAAATATTTTATTTATAAAACAGAGAAATAAATCCCATTTGTTCTTGTTGTCGCTCAGATTCACGGCAGATTTTACAATCTGTGACTCTGCTCGCTGTAAGCACTAATACTGTTTTAATACAGCCAAATTCACTATTTAGTTGTTCTCATTCACATACTTTTAGTCTGTGTTGTCAGACCATAAAATGAGCATAAAACAGTGATTTAGTCACAGTTCATATGTTGACCACCAGTCATTCCCAAGCTGCTGTCTGCCAATCAGATCTACAGTAAATCACCACAGATACAAGTCAATGACAACAGCAGTGTGATCAGATATACAGTATGACCTATACTGCAGCCAGCCACCAGGGGCAGGTCGAGACGTTCTGGCTTCAGTTTTGGGCAGCTTTATATACATTATACAGTGTATTATATAAAGTCAGTGGTAAAAACTCTGCAGCTTTCTGCGTTTGAATATGTGTGTTTGAGGCTGCAGCCACTGTGGAATTCATCATTTCTGACTACATCTCTGTGTTACCTGCTCTGCTAATGTTTTCTTGGGCCACGATGTTTAAGCGAAACAAAGGATTAAGAACAGCGTGGATAAGGTTAAAAGTTTAGGGTGGTTTTTATTCATTAAAGTAGGTTTTGACTGACCTAGAGCACTATTTTCAGTAAATGTAATCTCTTTGTGTAATCTGTTTGTGTTTGCAATGCCAGTAATCATTATCTTTTATCAATTTATAAATAGGAATTCAAATTAAGTTACAGATATAATAATTATTTTTTTTTGTCAATCACATCCTCTATTATTTTGAAGTTGGAGTTTGGAGTTACACAGAGATCACACTAACTAACTTATCAAATACCCAAGATAAAATGATCAGAATCAGAATCAGAAATACTTTGTTTGTTACAGCTGCTCAAGGTGCTCACACAACATTAAAGAATATAAATAAAAATTAACCATATGTAATATAACCTACATTATGTAACACAGAAACATTTAAAAACCAAATGGAAGAGAAAAAGTAATTAACAAGCGCTAATTAACTTAATGATACATAATAAGTAATAAGTCAGAGTGAAAGTATGACAGATAATCTCTCTCTTTTAGGGTCGGTGGATGTCAATGATGTTGGAGAGACTTCAGAGAACAGAGGACCTTCCTCCTCTCAGAGTGAAGCTGCTGTATTCTCTGGTATGTAAGGAAGCCCTGAAAGACCAAGTGGAGTTTTTACAGTTGAAAAAATAAAATGTAAGTTTTACTTTCTGTGAGACTGTCAGGGACCAAACAGTCAAGCAATGAGGAATACAGGAGTTTGTTGAAAAATTTTATTTACCCAAAAATACCAAACAATAGAAACAAAGAATTTAACGTCTAGGCATATAAAAGGGGTCAACAAAATATAATTATATTCAAAACAGCATACAACAAACAGAATATGAACTGTGGGGTATTGCACAAAAGTAGGATAAAGAAATCCAGGATAATTGAGCAAGCGCGGCTTGACTTAGCCTGCTCGGCGCATCCTGGCTTAATCGGTTGCACGTTTGTCGAGCCAGGATTAAAAGGTGCGGCTATGTTAAGCCAGGTGTAGATAGTCGGGATAAGTGCGTGTTCACGGCATACTGAAATAGACCTCGCGATCGCTCACAGAATCACCGATGGGAACATGGATAAGAGTCGCGCTTCGTATTTCACGGCCGCTGAACAACAGCTCCTGATGGAGTTCTATGAAGAGGTGGAAGATAGAAGAAACAAAGGCAATACCAATGCCATAATTAAAGAAAGAGAAAGCCTGGCAGACAATAGCGGACCGGCTTAATGCTTAAGTAGTCCAAAACTGTACAATTAATAAACAGTGCTCCACTGGAACTGTCATAATTAGGCTCCAATTAAAGGACTAAAGGAGTTACTTTAAGTCCACTAATCAACTGTTGTACACTTTTCTTTAAATGTGGCAAGTAGAGGTGCATGTTACTCAGGAAATGTAAAGTATGATTAAGTGCAAACAATTATCCACAATGTGTGTCATTTAATCTATTTTTATCTATTTTATCTTTCTATCCTTCATAAAGAACAAACTTGTCTGGCCATAAAAGGACCTGGCAGCAAGTTAAAGTTAAATACAAGAACATTTAGCAGGCTGGTAAGTGACTTTAAAGTAGATAACAGTGAACAAATGAGGTGAATAGATTAGGTATCTGCTGACATGTTGAATGTCTGTATGATTGTAGCAGTTAAAAAAAGCCCATAGAACTGGCACAGGTGGCGGCCCACCAAGCCAGGATATGTGCTGCCAATGGTTCCTTTATTGAGGTTCTCTGCATCCCCAACAGAATAAAGGAAGCTCCCACTTGCAAAACATCTCACTGTAACACAGACCATCTGTGGTACAGTGAGAGCATGGCTTCCTGCCGTCTGGTGCTGTGTTTTTGGACCCAGCAGCCTACATAAATATCTTAGTCCATCACCTGAGAATCTGTATCTCTCAATGAGATAGTCCTCTCCAACAGCCAATGGGTCTGACCTGTCCCAGAAGACTCTTTCATGACTAAATGCTCGTCTGAGGATTAGGACTTCCTCATCCAGCACATCCTCCAAAAAAGGGCAAGCCATTATGAAGAGGGAACAGGAGTGAATAATATATATATATATATATATATATATATATATATATATATATATTATGGCATGCCGTTTAGGAAATGAAGCTTTGAATATATGGAATGAATTTTTAATATATGGAATGAATCTTGGATAAACTGATAAAAATGAATGAACTGAATGAAATTGAAAACCTAGTTGTATCCTTTTCATCAAAGTGATAGCCTTCTGAATTAGCTGGTTTTACAAAATGGCATCAGTTGAAATATTACAATACTTTCTTAAACTGGAAAACTTTTTTGCTTTTTCTGTCAGGATTTAGCCTGAGGCCTGTTGTAGTCGGCCTGCCACCATTAAAAAGGGAGTGAACTTCTTCGTCAGGAGAACGGTATTGGGCACGGGTACTGTGGGAAGGATTGTGGCCCGTACAAGCACTTGCCAATGAGTTAATAATGTCCTCATTGCTCAGTATTGCTGCCACAAGGTTCCTGACTGACTCATTCTCACTTCTACAAGATGGCAGCAGTGCCTTGATGACCAGTCAAGTTTCATTCTATATATTCAAAGATTCATTTTATATATTCAAAGATTAATCTCCTAAACGGTATGCCATAATATATATACTATATTGCCCTTGTCACAGATTTCATTGAAAACACCTTTGCAACTTCATCAGCTGTGTTTTGTAATCTCAATTACTGCAATAAACACATATTTATGCAGTTTGACAAGCAGTCTTCATTAGCATAGCAATATAACACTTGTCCTGAGTAATAATACTACCATTTGAATTAATATAAAAAGACTGTTGCAATTACAAACAGCCAACAGATTTAAATGAAATAAGAAATTACAATATATATGTAATATTTTAATGCAGGATAATTAAAATGGTGCAACATACTTAAAAAGACCATGGACATGCTGTAAAACACATTAATTCCTCACAGGACTGACGGTGGAAATACAGGTGAATCACCAGGATTAATCTTAGCCTGGTTGTTAGCCTGGTCTGGAGCAGGCTAACTGCAGAGAATAAATCACCATAGTAACTTGGCCGGGATAAGTTTAACCTGCTTTCATGCAACCGACTTGAGGCTAAATTAAGCCAGGATAACCAACATATCCCGGCTTAATCCCTTATCCTGGTTTTGTGCAATACCCCTCTGAACAAACTGACCTCCCTGAATGAGACACAAGGGAACATATATAGTGGCTTGGCCGAACCAATTTACCCACAAGGGGAAAACAAAATGGACGCCAACTACAACTACTACAAGTAAAGCAAACTAAACCCAAAATCCCCCTCCAACATGGCAACACATGGTACGGCTTGATTGGCAGGCCACAGGATATAACAATCCTCCACCCTTGGCCACACCTTTATTCCACCAGGACAGACCTCATTGCTGGCTGTTACCCTGTGTGGCTTGGGCCATCACAGAGACTTTGTGACTCCATTATATTTTCAGCCCATTAAATTGCAATTGTTGTCATCTTGTGTTAGCTTGGCCCATCAATCCACCCCAACCTCCTCCATACTCTTCATACTACAGTATGTTCGTCTGTTACTCCAGTCATTATCGCCACCTGCTGGTGTGGCACCTTCATACATCCAGCTTAGATAATAATGCCTACTGAGCTAATTATGATGTAGAGTAGGCCATTCTACCACAAATAGTGGTAGTAGTAGTTTAAACAAGGTTGATATCTAAACATAATTTAACTGATTCCCCAAAATGAGAGAGACATTTCAACCAGTAGATAGAAACCAGTTACGCTAGCAGCTACTCACTGGTCACCAATCCAGGGCTGTGGTTGTACTGGGCGGCTCCCTGTCATATATGTTTAAATGTTGTGAAGCTGGGGTAAATAAAAAAAGAGTTCAAAGTTCAAATCTAAACTTTCGTAGGAGAAATTCTTCCACAACATTGTTTGAGTTGCTAGATCTCTGAAGAATTATGAACCCAGTGTGATGAATCAAGTTCCTTTACTCATGCATCATAAGACCTCAGCATAGATGTTCTCTCTAGACTTCCAGAATGCTCTCCCTTATATATCTTTCAGTACATCCAAACAAAAACACATCTGGTATCCTATAAACAGTACTGCTGTAAATTGCATGTGAAGGTTTTAGGTCTTCTACACAAATGGTCCTTTTATCAGCCCCTGTGACTGTGACCAGATTCTTATCAGACATCCCCCTACCATAAATCATTACCCCCCAAAACAAACTGTATACAATTACTACCCCCTCAAAAACATTAAACTACCACACTTTACCTTTCTGTTACACAGTTACAAATAACGGAATATTGTCCACAGACAACTTGCCAACTGAAACTGTTGGACTGCAGTTTAGTTGTTTTTTGTTTCTATTTATGTCACACAGATGGGATTGTTCCAGTACCAGAACCACAACACATCTCATATTACCAACAAAAGTTTCAAACGAACATTAAGACTAAATTTATGTGTGCACAAGAGGGGTGGATGGAGAAGAAGGATAAGCAACCTCTGGTCGATATCTACACAGAACTGTACATCACAGCTGGAGGTGACATACACATCAACGAACAGCATGAGGTCAGACAGACTGAGGTGGTGGGGAGGCGATCAGAAACAGAGACACCAATTAAACCCAGTGACATATTCAAACCCCCCTCTGGACAAACAAGAGCCATAAGAACAGTGCTGACCAGGGGAAGTGAAGGAATTGGCAAAACATTTCTTGTGCTCAAGTTTGTGTCAGACTGGTCTGAAGGAAGAGCCAATCAAGATGTGCATCTCATATTCCCCTTCACCTTCCGCCAGCTGAATTTATTGAAGGGAAAAAAGTTCTGTCTGGCAGATCTCATTCATAAATGTATCAGGGAGACCAAACACATCCCAGAAGAAGCACTGAATCACATCTTTACAACACTGCAGTCATCAGGAAACACCAACTATGACAGAAGTAAATTCAAACTTCTGTTTGTTTTGGATGGACTGGATGAGAGCCGCCTTCAACTGGACTGCTCTACCAGTAAAACCCAGGACACAGACTTTGATGTGACAAAGTCGACCTCAGTGGATGTGCTGCTGTCAAACCTCATAAAAAAAAATCTGCTTCCCTCTGCTCGCCTCTGGATAACCACACGACCTGCAGCAGCCAATCAGATCCATTCTGATTTTATTGACATAGTGACAGAGGTCAGAGGGTTCACTGACCCACAGAAGGAGGAGTACTTCCGGAAGAGGTTCACAGATGAGGAGCAGGCCAGCAGAATCATCTCCCACATCAAGACATTACGAAGCCTCCACATCATGTGCCACATCCCAGTCTTCTGCTGGATCACTGCTATAGTTCTGGAGGGTGTGTTGAAGACCAGAGAGGGAGGAGAGCTTCCCAAGACCCTGACTGAGATGTATGTAGAATTCCTGGTGTTTCAGATTCATCAGACAAAAGAGAAGTATGGCCAAGAACAGTGCGTTCAGTACATTAAGTCATTAGCAAAACTGGCTTTCCACCAGCTGGAAAAGGGCAACTTGATCTTCTACGAGAAAGATCTGAAAGAGAGCGGCATTGATGTCAGAGGAGCCTCAGTGTGCGCAGGAGTGTTCACAGAGATCTTTAAAGAGGAACATGGGAAGAAGAAGGATGAAGACAAGATGTTTAGTTTCGTCCATCTGAGTGTTCAGGAGTTTTTGGCAGCTTTATATGTGGAGATGTCGCTCGTCAACAGGAACAAGAATGTGATGTCTAAGCTTGCAGAAACTGTTGGCGAACATCTGCAAGCCTTTTTTAAAACAACAGCAGTCCACAGGTTTGCTATTGACAAGGCCTTACAGAGTCCAAATGGACACCTGGACTTGTTCCTCCGCTTCCTCCTGGGTCTCTCTCTTCCAAACAATCGGACCAAACTCCCTCAAGGCCTACTGAAAGAAACAACAAGCTCACAGACCAAACAGGAAGTTGAGTACATTAAGAAGAAGATCAATAAGAATCTGTCACCAGAGAGAACCATCAATCTGTTCCACTGTCTGAATGAACTGAATGATCATTCTCTAGTGGAGGAGATCCAACAGTACCTGAGTTCAGGAAGTCTCTCCACAGATGAACTGTCTCCTGCTCAGTGGTCAGCTCTGGTCTTCATCTTACTGTCATCAGAATCAGATCTGGATGTGTTTGACCTGAAGAAATACTCTGCTTCAGAGGAGGTTCTTCTGAGGCTGCTGCCAGTGATCAAAGCCTCCAACAAAGCTGTGTAAGTACATTGCAGCTTTTGATTTGTTCATTAATTTAAAAACAAGTATATAAAAGAAACATTATCAGTGTTTTTTTGTTCACTAACTCTCCTTCAGGCTGAGTGGCTGTAATCTGTCAGAGAGAAGCTGTGAAGCTCTGTCCTCAGTTCTCAGCTCCCAGTCCTCCAGTCTGAGAGAGCTGGACCTGAGTAACAACAACCTGCAGGATTTAGGACTGAAGCTGCTGTCTACAGGACTGAAGAGTCCACACTGTAAACTGGAGACTCTCAGGTCAGACCACATAGTGATGCTTTTGTGTAACACTGTTTTGTACTTTAAACATGCCTATGTTAATCGGGGAATTCACACTGGAAATCTTAGATAAAAATAAATGAAATATCATTCTGTTTGTGTGTTTGTGTGTGTGTGTGTGTGGGGTGTGTGTGTGGGGGGGGGTGGTGGATGGGTGTGTCTAGGCTGTCAGGCTGTATGATCTCAGAGGAAGGCTGTACCTCTCTGGCCTCAGCTCTGAGATCCAACCCCTTCCATCTGAGAGAGCTGGACCTGAGCTACAATCATCCAGGAGACTCAAGAGTGAAGCTGCTGTTTGCTGGACTGGAGGATCCACACTGGAGACTGGACACTCTCAGGTATGAACAGATAACCAGAGCTCACACAGTGTTTCTGTCACACTGAAAATCTGAGGACTGTTGGTTCACAGTCTGTACCAGCAGCACTGCTGATAACAGCTTAGGCTGTAGCTCACTAATCAGAAGGTGGGCAGCTCGATTCCCGGCTCCGCCTTCTGCATGTCAAGTGTCCTTGAGCAAGATACTGAACCCAAAATTGCTCCTGAAGTGAAGTGACCACTGATTGTGTATAAATGTTAGTTTCTGTTTGTGCCGGGTCATCACTCTATGTTGTGTAAAAGCGCTTTGATGATCAGAAGACTAGGCTATGCAATCTCCCATGCACAGCCTCCAACCATTGGTTAACTGGCTGTATTTGTCCATCCATTTGTGCCCTCCTTCAGTGGGGGCGGGTATTTTCTCAAAGATACTATTCATATCTGTAAATCTAAACGGTTGATACACCATGTTCCCATTACTTTTAGCTACTAATGGCATTGCAAGGGACAGTAGGCTAAATGCTCTCCCATTTGTTCCTAGCATTTCATGTTTATACAAATCCCCTTGTGCTTGAGAACGTGTGGTGCATGCAGTGATAGTCTGTGGTAGTGGACCGGATAGCGCTTCCCTATCCTGCTGTACCCTCGCAGTCCCTTGTCCGCTCTGAAGAAATGGATGGTGGTGTGTGTTCGGGTTATCATGTACAGCCAACATTCCTGTTATTTGTACTGGGTATGTGTCCCCTTCTAATTCCTCATCTGCTTCACCTATCCCCCAGTCATCTGTCTCCCTATATCCAACCTATTCTTCCTTTTCCTCTGCCTGTAACTCCCCTGGGCTTTCCTTTTCCTGTTTCTGTGATCTAGCCTGGTCTGCCTGTCTCTTTTTCTCTCTGTCTTTCTTTATTTGAAATGGTTCTGTGGGACGCTCCATGTTCCATTTGTTGCTGTCTTCCTTTCTCTCTCGCCCTGGTTCGTATGGGGTGGAGGTGCTAGGCGGACTGAGCGGAACCTTGACTGCTTTAGGCTTCATTATCTGTTTCTCTCTGTCCCTTCCCGAGGATCCGGAACCTGTAACCTGTGCGGTGTTTTCTACTGCTAATTCATGCCTTGCTTCTTTTATTAGCTTATCGAGTTCTTCTTGTCATTCCTCCAATATGCTTGTAACTGCCACAATGGCTGCCTGTTGTTCCTCTACAATCAAATCCAACCGCTGCAGTTGGGCTGCTCCCCCCTCTACTGATTGTGGCTCAAGGTCTAATAGTCCACCTTTTACAGCGAAGACAGGGGCTTGTATTCCCCCTGGCAAGATATCAGTGTACTGTGGGGGTGCTATCATGGGGGGTGTATGGTCAGGGGCTGAGGGTGCACATGGTGAGGTCAGGTCTGGGTATAGGTGGGGGACTGCTGGTCCCGTCGGTGGAGCAGTCTTAGTCACAGTCTTAGTCACAGTCCTGGGCAAGTTTTTGTCTTTCTGAGCCTCTAATGCTGCACATGCTAATGTTATTGTATGCACTGAGGCTCTCCTCTCTTCCTTCCCTGCTATTGTTTCTTTCCACTTCCTCCTTATCACCCAACCCTTCTTTCCCTCTTCTGCCGTATGCCTTTCTAACTCTTTTAACGCAGCCCTCTCGGCGTCAGCCAGATAGGGCAACAATTTCACCTTTTTCTCATCTCTAGGTACATGTCCCTCTTTCTGGAGCCAAGTCCAGGTCATATCGTGTCCCTTTATCATCTCCTCCTGTTTATTCTGTGGAAACCCACTAGCCAATTGCTGTCTAATTTGTTTCCACTGCCCTCCTACGGTACCTTTTGGGCACCCCCCATAGTCTTCACACTCTCTGTCGAATTCTCCGTCCATGTTAATATATATATATGTGCTACACACCCTGACAGCAAAAATCATGTACACATACAGGGTCTGTGTGAATGACTCACGGTCTGCTTCTGCATGAAATATTGCCCAGTGAGACAAGCTTCTATGCTGAATAAACTTTCAGTCTGGTCTCACTCTAGGGGTCCTCCCAGGCTTCGTACAGAAACTTTTAGACACACTTTTCATCCACTTGGTATCCAACCACCCGTTTTCCCCACAGAACACCTAGACCCACCCACACAATCCACAATGTCAATTTCTCAACCTTTTTAATAGTTTCACATTTATCAACGCTTAACTCTTATGTTCAAATGTTTGCATTGCAATTTATCGTATGAACTCAGGCTATTTGTACCGCCGGCGCTACCTTATCGCTAGTATCTGACTCCAATGTCATGCTGACACTTCCGGGTGTAACCTGAAACTTTACATACCAATAGACCATACGCCTGTTCTTTGCAACAGAGTGACTAACCCTATCTTACGAGACTATCAAATGAGTTAACAGCACCCAGGAGTTAACGGCACATGTTTACAATGGGTGTAAAGTATGTATGAGGGTAAATGTGATGTGTGAAATGTTGTAGAATGCATAAATTAATCAAAGAAGAACCAAAGAGAATCTAAACTAGCCACATCGTTGGAAGGGATGAGAAGCATCCTAGACTTATCAGAGAGCACAGGGCCCAGGTGCCACCAGAAGTCCCTGACTGCCAGGGACCCCTAAACACCAACCAACACACAGCCGGTCCATCACAGAAGATCATTGATAAGGAACCCTCTGAAGGTTCACTGTGACTTTGTTTCTTCCTCCAGGGTGGAACACGGTGGAGAGCAGTGGCTGAAACCTGGTCTGAGGAAGTGTAAGTGTGTGTTCACTTTGATTCATGTAAACATGATAAAGTAGTTTGAATCAAAAGGTTGTGTATCTGCATTCAACTGTCAGTTTGAAAGAAGATCCAAACAGATGAGTCATTGTGAAGTTTTGATCTAATTAACAGTCAGTCTGTTAATAAAGCAACAAATAAAGCCATCAGCTGTGTTAGATGATAAACTGCTGCTGTATTGGGTCTTGTTCTCTCCATCAGATTCCTGTGAACTCACAGTGGACACAAACACAGTGAACAGAAACCTTGAACTGTCTGACAACAACAGGAAGGTGACATTAGTCACAGCGGAGCAGCCATATCCTGATCATCCAAAGAGGTTTAATGTCTGGCCTCAGCTGTTGTGTAGAAATGGTCTGACTGGTCGCTGTTACTGGGAGGTCGAGTGGAGAGGAAGAGTTGATATATCAGTGAGTTACATACAAATTAGAAGGAAGGGAGACAGTGTTGACTGCACGTTTGGTGGAAATAATCAGTCCTGGAGTCTTTTGTGCTCTGATGTTGGTGGTCACTCTGTCTGTCACTATAACAGAAGAACAGAACTCCCCTCTTCCTCCTCCTCCTCCTCCTCTGTCTCTAACAGAGTAGCAGTGTATGTGGACTGTCCTGCTGGCACTCTGTCCTTCTACAGAGTCTCCTCTGACACACTGATCCACCTCCACACCTTCAACACCACATTCACTGAATCTCTTTATCCTGGGTTTATGTTATGGCCTGGTTCCTCAGTGTATCTGTGTTCACTGTGACTGTGACACTGAAACACTGCTGTCAAACACACACACACGAACATTTTCTAAGTCAAACTAACTTTATTTTGGTGAATGTATGTGGTTTTAAAAACCTTGAAATATGTTTTCATCCAGGTTTTTGCAGCAAACGCTAAATGATTTTAGTTTTCTATACTTTTTTCACATAAATAATCATGTATATAAAATTAAGTAATTTTTTCATTCTTGGACAAATTAATTCAAACCAACCAACTGACTTTAATTAAAATTAGTTAATGTCACTTGTTAAAGGGACTAAACGGAAGAAAATGTGGACTTCAGCTTTCAGTTGGTCTCACTATCCCGGCTGTATCCTCTCACCATCATATGATTTTAACTCTAGCTTGTTTCTGACTTTGAAACCTGTGTGGATTAAAGACAACTGATACTTCACCCTGTTTAATTTATTGATTTATCGGTTGCTTTGATTTATTTGATTATCTTTATTCTCATAATCTCTTGAAGTTTTTAGAAGTAGTTCTATACTTACTTTTCTGTGTATTCAAATGATTTACACACCTATTACTGTTATTAGGTCCTATACTTTTATATACTCCTTGGTTTGGTTTGGTTTTCTCATGGTTGTATTTAAGGATTAGTTCCTTATATGCATAGATTAGATACACATAGAGCCTCATAATTGTGTTGTATTTCATGATTTTACTCACCCTTAAATTTCAGATTATTTTTAAGCCTGACATAATGCCGCTGTAAATGCGTGTGCTGTTTTAAAAAACAACCTACATTATGTCTCTTTATATTAGGAAAATCCACATGCAAAGAAATAGAATTCCAAAATGTTTTAGCTGTTCTTTATTATTCAATAATAATATGTGATAATTAGTCTTGAAAAACATATCACCAGAGCTTTATGTTATTGAACAAACATAGATTACTGGCCAGGCTGTTAGAAGTCTTTGTCAATGCACTTTTCAACAACCAAAGTAAGAGGATTATTGAACGTGGACCTTTTCTCCTCTAACACAGTCACTTACTGGTATTAACTTACTCTACCCTGACTTGGAGCTGGAAGGACAGGGAAGTTTGTTTACACTACTAGCATAGGAGCAAGGGGACCCAACAGGGAATACCAGGGAGCGGGGCCAGAAAGAGCAACAGAACGGGAGCCGAGAGAGTGGACTACAGAATCAATCTCCTAGCCTCCAAGACTGATAGAGGCCAGCTAATTTACAGCAGCAAAAACACGGCAGGTTCAGGCAGTTACAAGAGAGGCATGAAACAGGAGAGGAGTGAGCTGATTAGCAAGTAAGGTTATCCATCTTCATCAGAATTGGCATTCTACCAAGCTGGTAGAATCACGTTCAATCTGGCAGGATTAAAATATATAGAAACGCCCTCCATAATGCCAGAGCAGCCTATTATTCAACACTAAAAGAAGAAAATAAGAACAACCTAAGGTTCCTCTTCAGCACTGTAGCCAGGCTGACAGAGAGTCACAGCTGTATTGAGCCACATATCCCCATAACCTTAAGTAGCAACGACTTTATGAGCTTTTTTTATAATAAAAATTATTACTATTAGAGACTAAATTAATCACCAAATGTCCTCAACAGGTATCACTGTCTCTTCCAGTTCAGGAACTTTAACAGATGTAAAATCAGATATATATTTAGACTGTTTTTCTGCTATCAATCTTCATCAGTTAACTTCAATAATTTCTACATCGAAGCCATCAACCTGTCTATTAGACCTGATCCCAACTAGGCTGTTTAAAGAAGTCGTTCCCTTAATTGGCACTTCTTTATGGATATGATCAATCTTTTTCAATTCAATTCAATTCAATTTTATTTGTATAGCGCCAATTCATAACAGAAGTTATCTCAGGACACTTTTCAAATAGAGCAGGTCTAGACCGAACTCTTTAACATTAATTACAGAGACCCAACAGTACCACCATGAGCAAGCACTTGGCGACAAGGGCAAGGAAAAACTGCCTGTTAAAAGGCAGAAACCTAGGACAGATCCTCCGGCTCTAGGTGGGTGGTCGTCTGTCTCGACCAGTTGGGGTGAGAGAGAGAGAGAGAGAGAGAGAGAGAGAGAGAGAGAGCGACAGACAGACAGACAGGTGCACAGCAACAACAGTATTGGCAATGGCAGTCAAGCAGGACCATGGCAGGAGGCTCCACCAGGATCCATGAGAACCTGCGAGACGAGAAAGCACAAGAACTCCGGGGAAGAAGTGGAGTTAGTAACATGCATTAAAGGGACATGAATGAGTGCAGAAAGAGAGAGGAAGAGAGTAGCTCAGTGCACCATGGGAAATCCCCATAGTCTAGGCCTATAGCAGCATAACTAAGGGATGGTTCAGGACTCACCTGATCCAGCCCTAACTATAAGCTTTATCAAAGAGGAATGTCTTAAGCCTACTCTTGAATGTGGTGAGGGTGTCTGCCTCCCGAACCACAACTGGAAGCTGGTTCCACAGGAGAGGAGCTTGGTAACTGAAGGCTCTGGCTCCTGTTCTACTTTTAGAGACTATAGGAACCACAAGTAGCCCAGCATTCAGAGAACGTAGTGTTCTAGTGGGGTAATAGGGTACTATGAGCTCTTTAAGATATGAAGGGGCCTGACCATGAAGAGCTTTATAGGTGAGGAGGAGGATTTTAAATTCAATTCTACATTTTATAGGGAGCCAATGCAGAGTAGCTAGTACAGGAGAGATGTGATCTCTTTTTCTAGTTCCTGTCAGTACTCGTGCTGCAGCGTTCTGAAATAATTGGAGCGTTTTAATGGACTTATTGGGGCAACCTGATAATAAAGAGTTGCAGTAATCCAGCCTTGAAGTAACAAATGCATGGATTAGTTTTTCTGCATCTGTCTGTGATAGTATGTGTCTAATTTTTCTAATATTACGTAAATGAAAGAAGGCAGTCCTAGAGGTCTGCTTTATGTGGGAGTTAAATGACAAATCCTGATCAAAGATAACTCCAAGATTCCTGACAGTGGTGCTAGAGGCCAAGTTAATGCCATCTAGAGTGACTATATCTTTAGACAATGAGTCTCTAAGGTTTTTGGGGCCAAGAACAAGAATTTCGGTTTTTTCTGAGTTTAACATCAGAAAATTGCAGGTCATCCAGGATTTTATGTCCTTAAGACATGTTTGTAATTTAGATAATTGATTAATTTCATTGGGTTTGATTGATAGATATAACTGCGTATCATCTGCATAACAGTGAAAGTTAATGGAGTGATTCCTAATAATGTTGCCTAAAGGGAGCATATATAAAGTAAATAGTATTGGTCCAAGTACAGAACCTTGTGGAACTCCATGACTAACTTTAGTATTTATGGAGGATTCATCGTTAACATGTACAAACTGAGAACGATCTGATAAGTATGACTTAAACCAGGTTAGGGCAGTTCCTTTAATGCCAATTTGATGCTCAAGTCTCTGTAAAAGAATATCATGGTCAATGGTGTCAAATGCAGCACTAAGATCTAATAATACAAGTACAGAGACAAGTCCATTGTCAGAAGCAGTCAGAAGGTCATTATTAACTTTAACCAGAGCTGTCTCTGTGCTATGATGAACTCTAAATCCTGACTGAAAATCCTCAAATAAACTATTGTTATGTAGAAAGTCACACAACTCTTTGGCGACTACTTTCTCCAGAATCTTAGAGAGGAACGGGAGGTTAGAAATCGGTCTATAGTTGGCTAAAACCCCTGGGTCAAGAGTGGACTTTTTAAGAAGGGGTTTAATTACAGCTACTTTAAAGGACTGTGGTACATATCCTGATAATAAAGAAAGATTAATCATATCCAGTAAAGAAGTGCCAATTAAGGGAACAACTTCTTTAAGCAGCCTAGTTGGGATCGGGTCTAACAGACAGGTTGATGGCTTCGATGTAGAAATGATTGAAGTTAACTGATGAAGATCGATAGCAGAAAAACAGTCTAAATATACATCTAAGTTTACATTGACAGAAGTCCCTGAACTTGGAGAGCCACTGATAACTGTTGATGGCAGTTGGTGATTAATTTTTTCTCTAATAGTAATAATTTTATTATAGAAGAAGCTCATGAAGTCATTGCTACTTAAGTTTATGGGGATATGTGGCTCGATAGAGCTGTGACTCTCTGTCAGCCTGGCTACAGTGCTGAAGAGGAACCTAGGGTTGTTCTTATTTTCTTCTATTAGTGCTGAGTAATAGGCTCCTCTGGCATTACGGAGGGCCTTTCTATAAATCTTAAGATCATCTTGCCAATTTGAGCGATATTCTGATAATTTGGAAGAGCGCCATTTCCTTTCAGATTTCCTAGCTATTTGCTTTAACTGGCGGGTTTGGTGGTTATACCAAGGTGCTAGTCTCCTATGTTTTAATAATTTCCTTTTTATAGGAGCGATAGAGTCTAATGTAGATCGTAGTGAGCCTGTAGCACTATCGACAAGATTATCAATTTCAGAGGGACTAAAGTTGTTATAGGACTCTGTTAAATTCAGACATGGCATTGAATTAAACACTGAAGGAATCTCCTCCTTAAATTTAGCTACAGCACTGTCAGATAGACATCTGCTGTAGGAAGTTTTGCCTAATGGTTTATAATCTAATAGTATGAATTCAAAAGTTATTAAATAATGGTCAGATAGGAAAGGATTATGTGGGAAGACTATTAAATGTTCAATATCAATGCCATAGGATAAAACAAGGTCAAGAGTGTGATTAAAACAATGAGTTGGTTTATTTACACTCTGACAGAAGCCAATTGAGTCTATTAATGATATAAATGCATTACTAAGGCTGTCATTGTTAACATCCACATGAATATTAAAATCACCTACAATAATTACTTTATCTGATTTAAGGACTAAGCTTGATAGAAACTCTGAAAATTCAGATATAAAATCAGAGTACGGTCCAGGAGCGCGGTACACTATAACAAATAGAACTGGCTGCAGTGTTTTCCAGTTTGGGTGAGAAAGACTAAGAACAAGGCTTTCAAATGAATTATAATTTAGTTTAGGTTTAGGGTCCATTAAAACGCTCAAATCATATATGGCTGCCACTCCACCTCCTCGGCCAGTGCCTCGAGGAATGTGAGTATTAATATGACTGGGGGGGGTGGATTCATTTAGGCTAACATACTCCTCGTGGGACAACCAGGTCTCAGTAAGACAAAGTAAATCAATATCATAATCTGATATTAATTCATTCACTAAAACAGCTTTAGAGGACAGAGACCTGATATTTAACAGCCCACATTTCATTCTCTTATTTTGTGCTACTGAGGAGTTGGTTTTAATTTTTATTAGGTTTTTATGTTTAACTCCTTGTTTTTATTTCTTTAAATAATTTAGGTGGTTGGGGGACAGACACAGTCTCTATGGGGTTTTGGGTGGGTGACTGTTCTAAAGAAAGCGCAGAGAAGTGTGTAAGACAGCAGCTCTGCTTCCTGGTCCTAACTCTGGACTGTCAGGTTTTAGAAATAAACTTCGCCATATTCCTAGATAAGAGAGCCGCTCCATCCAAAGTGGGATGGATGCCGTCTCTCCTAATCAGACCAGGTTTTCCCCAAAAAGGCTTCCAGTTATCAATGAAGCCCACATCGTTTGCTGGACACCACCTCGACAGCCAGCGGTGGAATGACGGCATGCGGCTATACATGTCATCACTGGTCACATTGGGCAGGGGGTCCAGAGAAAACTACGGTGTCCGACATTGTCTTAGCATAGTTACACACCGACTCCACATTAATCTTAGTGACCTCCGATTGGCGTAAACGGGTGTCGTTACCGCCGACGTGGATAACAATCTTACTGTATTTACGTTTACCTTTAGCCAGCAGTTTTAGATATGATTCAATGTCGCCCGCTCTGGCCCCAGGGATACATTTAACTATGGCCGCTGGCTTCGCTAACTTCACGTTTCTGACTATGGAGCTGCCAATAACCAGAGTTGGTTCCTCAGCGGGTGTATCGCTGAGTGGGGAAAATGTATTAGAAACGTGAAGCGGTTGGTGGTGACCTGTGGGCTTCGCCGTTCTAGTCTTCCTTCGCTCAGTCACCCAGCCTCCCTGTCTTCCCGGCTGCTCGGGATCTACCGGGGGAACTACCGGAGGAACTACCGGGGGATCTACAGAGCTAACAGAAGCTACCTTCGGTCGGACCGCACAGGCTACCGGGGGCTGGCTAACTATAGCGGCTAAAGATATCTCCGTGGTGCGGTGCCGTTCCTCTAACTCACTAAGCCTCGCCTCCAGCGCAGTAAATAAACTACATTTAATACAGGTACCATTATCTTTAAAGGAGGCAGAGGAATAACTGAACATCTGACACACTGAGCAGGACAGAGGAGAGGGAGAGGGAGAAGCCATAGCTAACTGCTAATGCTAATGAAACTAGAGTGTATGAAAAACTTTGAAAGTAGTGAAAAGTCCCTAAAAGAGGGAGAAACTCCAAGTGTTTAAGTAGAACTAGTCTACGTTTAAATGTTAAGCGGGTAAATAACCGCTGTAACGAGTAAAACTAATTTATATTTAGCGTTCACTGACAGAGCTACAGCACCAAACAGTGTACACAGAGCAGGAAGTAAACCGGAAGTGAGTCAGTACGCTTACCGTAGCACGTCACTTTCTTTATTATCAGGATATGTACCACAGTCCTTTAAAGTAGCTGTAATTAAACCCCTTCTTAAAAAGACCACTCTTGACCCAGGGTTATAGCCAACTATAGACCGATTTCTAACCTCCCTGGAGAAGATTCTGGAGAAAGTAGTCGCCAAACAGTTGTGTGACTTTCTACATAGCAATAGCTTATTTGAGGATTTTCAGTCAGGATTTGGAGTTCATCACAGCACAGAGACAGCTCTGGTTAAATTTAATAATGACCTTTTGATTGCTTCCTACAATGGACTTGTCTCTTTACTTGTATTATTAAATCTTAGTACGGCATTTGACACCACTGACCATAATATTCTTTTATAGAGACTTGAGCATCAAATTGGCATTAAAGGAACTGCACTAAGCTGGTTTAAGTCATACTTAACTTTTAACAAACTGAGAACGATCTGATAACGATGAATCCTCCATAAATACTAAAGTCAGTCATGGAGTTCCACAAGGTTCTGTGCTTGGACCACTTCTATTCACCATATATATGATTTCATTAGGCAAAATTATTAGGAATCACTCCATTAACTTTCACTATTATGCAGATGATTCCCAGTTATAACTATTGATCAAGCCTGATGAAATTAATCAATTATCTAAATTACAAACATGTCTTAAGGACATAAAAACTGGATGAGCTGCAAGTTGTTGTACTGGGCCCCAAATACATCCTAGAGTCACTGTCTAAAGATGTAGTTACTCTACATGGTATCACCTTGGCCTCTAGCACCACTGTCAGGAATCTTGGAATTATCTTTGATCAGGACATGTCCTTTAACTCCATCATAAAGCAAACCTCCAGGGCTGCCTTAAGTTATATTGCAAAATCAGACACATCCTGTCACAGACAGATGCAGAAAAACTTATCCATGAATTTGTTACTTCTCGGCTGCATTACTGCAACTCCTTATTATCAGGCTGCCCAAATAAGTCGATTAAGATGTTACAATTTATTCAGAACGCTGCAGCACAAGTACTGACAGGAACTAGGAAAAGAGATCACATCTCTCCTGTACTAGCTTCTCTGCACTGGCTCCCTGTAAAATGTACAATGTAATTTGATCATCATCATCATCATCATCATCATCATGATCATCATATCATCATCATCATCATCATCATAAATCATTAATACTAGTATAGTTGTTACTACTGTTCTTGCTGTGCACCTTTGTCTCTGTCTCTGTCCTTCTCTCTTTACCCCCTCATTCTGCTGACTGGGACTTAAAATCACCTGCAGTTCCTAGGACTTGGGTTAGCTTTGGGTCAGTGTCAGCACACATTCATCAGGAGTCTTTTACCTTCACGAGCCACTGATGAGTCAACAGGAGTCAACTTAACACAACAAAATATAATGCGGTTGTGTGGATGTGGTAACAATATTTACTGGAACTGGTATGAAAAAGAGGAACCTGAATAAAGTGAAGTTGAAATTTCACTTCTGCATACAGACACAGCCTAACTACAGTTCCTCATTGTTCATTTATTTTCAACTTATTTGACCTGAGTGCAGCAGGTAGACTGTTGGGTGACTGGACCAGGTTCAAATGTTCTCCAAACTCTCACAGTAAAAGTACGGTAAGTAAGTCTTGTGTTTTTCAGTTCATGATGTGCATAACTTTGATACAGTGACTGTTAGCATTTAATGTACTTGAAAAGTAACTATCACCTTAGTTTTCATCCTGCACCATTATCAGATCCACATATTTATTTATTGAATAAATAGCTCTGGTCTACTCTGTTTTCAGACCTCATATGCTGAGAAAGATCTGTCTATTGAATTTGTCTATTGTCTATTTTAAAACAGTTACAAAAATTGAGCTAAACCAGGCTCTCTGTTTATGCCAGTGTGGTAAGTGTGAGCACTATGGTGTCAGCAGTTATGTGGCCTATGTGTGGGGGCATAACTCATACATCAATGATCCGAGATACAACAAGAAGGATTCTGTAGCAATATCAACAGCGCAATGAAAATGCATGTGTCCAGAGTCAAACATATCTGTATCAGCAAAGAGGAGTGCTAACATTGTTGAACACTAACAATTGAACAATCAGTGACGATATTCAGATAAATGTTAATAATCACCCCAGTCTTTCAGCATCTGTGTGTTGCTTGGCAACCAATCTGCTAAATGTCACCGAAGAACTACATTACTTGGTAGCAAAATGATTGTTTGTTATCAATACATTCTTGCACTTTTGTTGCTGTACATTTATTTTATGAAACCTTGATATGTATAGTAACTGTTTACAATAGCAAGCAGGAGACAGTGATATACAGTGATTTTTAGAACAGCTAAGGGGGTTTGTATCCTGCCTAACAATGCCCCTAGTTGTTCTAAAATCACATAAAACTATGGCCTCTTGAGCCTTATTGATAAAGTGTCCAATATTTTGGTTTATGACCTGCAACTCTAATGACGTTCCCATCACCCTTGATTGGTAATTAGACTTAATTATCTAACGTTAGCATGCTAACATACTAAAAAAGAGTGAACATGGTAAACATACAGTGGTGTTTGAAGTCATGAAACTTTATTTCAAGAACTCAAAGCTAGTGAAACAACAGAAAATTTAAATCTGAAATAGCAATGCAGCTTGTGTGTCACCCAATCAGAACTACTGTCTGATTTTAGCAGGAAGTCACGATGACACCAGAGGACGTTTTGAACACTCTGAGGGATTTACGAAACGAAGAATTCAGGGACTTTAAATGGTATCTGCGGCAGCCTGACATCCTGGAAGGGTACCAAACCATCAAAGTGTCCGAGCTGGAAATGGCAGAAAGGCGGGACACAGTGGATGTGATGATGAACACCTATGAACTTCATGGAGCTCTGAAGGTGACCAAGAAGATTTTAGAGAAGATAAACAGGAACGATCTGGTGCAGAGTCTGCCAGACACCAGCTCAGGACCAGAAGGTCAGTCACACTGTTCTGTTCTTTTATTTTTATCTTCAGGTAAAAAGAATCCTGTGCCAACTTTAGGTCCAGGAACCTTGTTTAGAATCACGGTTCTTTCATATACACTCAGGGCCATGAATATTTGGACAATGACATCATTTTCATGATTTGGCATCTGCATGCAACCACATTGGATTTGAAATTAAACAACTGAGATGCAATTGAAGTGCAGACATTCAGGTTTAATTCAAGGGGTTGAACAAAAATATCCTATGAAACATTTTTATACAAAGTTTCTTCATTTCAGGGGCACAGAATAATTGGACAAATTAACATTACCATAAATAAAATGTTCATTTTTAATACTTTGTTGAGAATCAATGACTGCCTGAAGTCTGGAACCCATGGATATAACCAAACGCTGGGTTTCCTCCTTTGTGATTCTGTGCCAGGCCTTCACTGCAGTTGTTGCTTGTTTGTGGGTCTTTCTGCCTTAAATATTGTCTTAAGCAAGTGAAGTGCATGCTCGATCAGGTTGAGATCTGGTGATTGACTTGGCCATTGCAGAATATTCCACTTCTTTGCCTTAAAAAACTCCCAGGTTGCTTTCGTAGTATGTTTTGGGTCATTGTCCATCTGTACTGTGAAGCACTGTCCAATTAACTTTGCTGCATTTGGCTGAATCTGAGCAGGAAATATATTCCTATACACTTCAGAATTCATCAGGCTGCTTCTGTCTTCTGTCACATCATCAATAAACACTAGTGACCCAGTGCCGTTGGAAGCCATGCATGCCACATGTCACACTGCCTCCACCATGTTTTACAGAAGATGTGGTGTACTTTGAATCATGAGCCGTTCCAAGCCTTCTTCATACTTTCTTCTTCCCATCATCCTGGTACAGGTTGATCTTAGTTTCATCTGTGCAAAGAACACTCTTCCAAAACTGGGCTGGCTCCTTTAGATGTTTTTTTGGCAAAGCCTAATCTGGCCTTTCTATTTTTTAAGCTTATTAATGGTTTGCTTGCTTGTGGTGAACCCTTTGTATTTGCTCTCATGAAGTCTTTATGGTGGTTTTGAGTTCCTGAGCTCACCAGTGCGCTCTTTATTTCTCAGGATGTACCAAACTGTTGATTTGGCAGCTAAACAGCTAAAATCACAAAACTTGTGTCAGTGTCCAAATATATATGGACCTAACTGTATGTAAGTAGGTAGGAATCTTCTCAATTTAACACCTATTAAGTTACAAATTAATGATTTTGAGTTTCCTTTATTTTTGACTGACAGGCAATCACGTTGTGAGGCCATTATTGCTTCACTAGTTGCAGGCTCATGGTTATCTGCTCAGTTTGGACACTTTCGGGGATTGTTTGAAAAGTTCAGATTTTTAACTGATCACGTCCTGTGTTGATGTATGAGTACAACTAAGGGTTAAGAGCAGTGTGGATAAGGTTAAAAGCTTAGAGCATTTTTTATTAATTAAAGGAGGTTTTGATTGACTGTGTGTTGGATACAGTGATGTATTGGCTAACAAATTAAAGATGGTTGATCCTCTGTGAGCAGTATTTTCATGTCAGTCAGCAGTACATCCTTTTTTGCTGTTTTGTTTATAATAATCATGTTATCAGTAGGAATTCAGAAGTTACAGATATAGTAAATTTATAGTCAATCACATCCTTTATTATTTTGTTGTTGTAGTCTTTGTTACACAGAGATCACACTCCAAACAACATGAGGGATGTGTGGAGTGGCATGAGAACCATCACCGGCTTCCAGAAGACTGGTTGAATGGGGTTGGACGGCTGTGTGGACCGGGACAATGAACTGAACCTATTTTTCAACAGGTTTGATACTGCCCCTGTAACGGATGTGGGTAGGGCACGAAAGGAGATGACTCAATGACTTGTTTTCCAGCATTTATTTGCTCCTGCAGAAGACAGTAATGCACATTAATTGCCTTCTGGTCTTTTTCTGCACCTCTGTTCCCTCAACATGCAAGGCGGTACTGTGAGGGTCAGCCGGGGCTACGGAAGCTTAGAAGGTACAGAAAAGGTGACATAAAGCAAAGTAATTTCCGCAGATAAGATAAAATTCACACATACTCAACAAAAATTAAATGATAAATAAAATTGACAAATACAAACTGGACATAAGAATTGATAAAGTGCATTTTTAACTCTGTTACATCCACCCCCACTGAATTTTATCGAATATGAGCACCAGCTACACAGTATGCACTAAAGAAAACACTACAAATTGACAAATTACAGGGTCAGCATCAAGAAAACCAACACCAAATGTATCCCATAAGGATGAAGTGGTATGAGAGTAGCGCTTATCCCTCAATCCAGCAACTGGCAACAGGGTGCCTTGTACACCCCACAAAACAACATCACATAGTGCAGTGTAGGCCCACGACAGAAAAGAAAATGAGAACAGAGGCACATTATACCAATACAAAAAAAAACTTTTCAGTGCCATAAAGGCATAGGCCATCTGATTAAGGTTTTAGTCAGCAAAAGCCCTGAGAGATGTACATTTGCAAACAATCTATGTACATTGAACTTGTCTTGAACAACATCCTGTCTGGACATGGTGTGTATGAACCTGTTCACAGGTTTGACTAGGCAACCAAATCTTGACCTGACCAGTGTCTGCGCATCTGAATGACCCCAGTGCGTGAGTGAGGTCTGGCAGTCTCACATGTGCTGGAACGTCCACAGCAGTCACAAGGCCAGAATCGCAGGTCACAGACTGATCTGTCATGTGGTCCTCAGGTGAAACTGAGGGGTCCTGGGGGTCACATGTCACGCTTGTTATGTCTGTAGCGTCCGCCTCTGACAGACTTGGTGCAGACAACTGTGTAATCCATTCTATGGTCCTCCTCTCAGAGTCCACAGGTTCCGGATCAGTCAAGGGACCCTGTCCCTCTCCCACAGTCACAAATGAGTTTCTGTCACTTTCGGTGTCAAGGCGTCCACTAGCTCCACAAAGAGTCTCACTCTCTCCCTCGAACAAGGTCACTCCCGCCTCTCCCGCATCATCAGTTCCTGGAGCTGAGGATTCTGTAACAGGCATGGATGAGGTAATATCAGACATTCCACATGTGTCTCCCACAGGGAGGAAATTGGCCAGCATCAGCAGGTTTCTGTGGATCACCTCCTGTCCAGTGCTCATGTCCACCACAGTGTAGATGGTTGATTCCCACCGATCAGCAATGTTTTTTTTACCTCTTTCCTTCCTGTTGGCCAAGAGCACTCTGTCACCGATTTCAACCCGTGACCCCTTCACTTTCTTGTTGTACAGCTGAGCATGTCTATTCTGCTCTTTCGGGCAATCACCATCGCTTCCCTCAGAGCATCGGCGAGACACGCCACGTACTTATCATAGCTCGTCACAGCAGAGTCATGAAGGACAGAACGGAAGAGGACATCAAGGGCGGCTGTGGCTCAGAGGCAGAGTGGGTTGTTCCTTAATCGGAAGGTTGTGGGTTTGATCCCCGGCTCCTGGTGCCACATGTCGAAGTATCCTTGAGCAAGATATTGAACCCCAAATTGTGTGTCGCGCAACACACAATTTGTGTATGAATATTAGTTTCTGTTCGATGGACTTTTCGATGGACTTTGCCATCACTGAGTGAATGTGTACGAAAGGGTGAATGTCTCACGTAGCGTAAAAGCACTTTGAGTAAGAAGAAAGGCGCTATACAAGTACAGGTCCATTTACCATTTACCATCAACAGGTAGGTGAGGGACACGGCCAAACATGAGGTAAAAGGGGGGATAGCCCATCGTCTCATGGGCTGTGCAGTTGTACATGAAAGCCAGAGTCTGCAAGCGTCGCGGCCAGTCAGCTTTCTCTTCAGGGGACAATGCACGGATCATGCCACCCAAGGTCCGAATGAATCGTTCCACACGGGTGGTGTGGGGTTGTGTGTGATTTCTTGACACCTGAAACCCTGAGGAGCTCACTTATCAGCCGGCTCTCAAAGTTAGCACCTTGGTCACTATGGAAAGACACAGAAATACCGGTCCCAGAGAACCCTTGCCACCTGCTTAGCCGTCTGGTCTTTACATGGAAACGCCTGGGCCATTCTTGTGAAATGGACATCGACAGACTTGTTTCTGGAGTCTTCAGCAGACCAAAAGTCAATACAGACCAACTCCAGTGGCCTGGATGATGTTTTGCTTTCCAGGGGAGCCCTTCCCTCAGGTTCAACAGTCTTGCTGACGATGCATCGCTGACAATGACGGACATAGTCTCCTACGTCTCGGTCAAGGTTTGGCCAGAAAAACCTCTGTCTCGTCAAGCTTAGGCTCCTGCACTGAGCTTGATGTCCGGCTCTGTTGTGAACTCCCTGCAGAACTTCAGCCTTGAGCGAGTCAGGAACAACATACTGGAAACGCTTTGCCTTGGTTTTCTGGTCCCTTGAAATCCTGTACAGCACACCATTGCTCACAGTGAGCCTATCCCAGTTCTTCAAGTATCTTGTGACAGACACAGACTCTTTAAATCTTTCCCTCCGAGAAGGCCTCCGACGTCTCTCAACATAGGACAGAACACGAGAGAGAGTCCTATCCTCCAACTGCTTATCACGGAGGTCCTTTTCGGTGTAGGCAGGTAAGGCGTCCTGTCCAGGTGGAACCAACTGAGGTAGGTACTGCAACATTTCAACAGCACGGGCCCTTGGACCAGCATCCCATTCAACATGCGACTGTAGCACAGCAGACACGTTCTCCATTGCGACAGACTGAGTGTGCATGCGAAGTGGACTGCATGAGGACTGGGCAATGTCACTAGCTGGAGAGGGTTTCTTGTGACCACTGGATGACTGGAAGGCATTCTGGACAGAAGTACTGGAAATATCTTTGACATCAGCGAGAAGACCTGCATAGGGTTCAGCAAGCAGCCTGTGGCCAACACTCTCCTTGACAAATGGCACACGGCTCAGTGCATCAGCTACAACGTTCTGCCGACCAGGAACTTATTTGATATCCAAATGGTAACTCGCCAAATTG